GGGGGGGGGGGGGGGAGGGGACGGGACTAAAAAGAAAGAGGCAGGCGCGCGCATGCTCGCGTTCCGACAGTGTTTGCCAATCGTGTTGACCTTTGTTACATCGCCCTTGTGTTTCAGCGTAGTTGGCGCTGTTTTGTGATAATGTTCTGTTTTGTTGCTGTGGATGAGGCAGCTAGTGCTGACTGCTGCACGATTGCTGCTGCTGGTGTTGCCGTCGCGGACGCTTTTGGTGTGCAACCGCTCGCCGCCGCTACTGCTGCTCAGGAGCTGAGCGCGCTGTACGCCATCGCCGACGTGCTGGTCATAACCCCCATCCGCGACGGCATGGACGTGGTGCCGTTCGAGTACGTGGTCTCCCGGGAGTGCCGACGCCTGCCCGCCACCGTCGTGCTCAGCGAGTTCGCCGGCTGCGCCAGGTGAGACGAAGAGGAGAGAGCTAGATCGAAAGAGAAAATGCAGACAGAGAGCGGGCCCTAGGGGGCCCTAGAGAGGGAGAGACAGAGAGAGACAGAGAGAGACAGAGAGACAGAGACAGAGACAGAGACAGAGACAGAGACAGAGACAGAACGTCAGAGGACGAGGGGAGGGAGGACGGCAGAGGAGTCTCATGTGCGATTTTCTTGCCATGCTGCCGTACAGTACAGCTGTACTGCCACTTGAGGCTGGCGTTTTGCTCTGGTTGTCAAGTTGATACCTCTTACAGAGACGAGTCCGCCGCCGCCGTGCCTATGTATGCCCCTTATTCTTGCCATGGTGCCCGTCACCATCCCGCCCTGTTGGGTGTTTTTGGAAGGTCCATCGGCGGTGCTGTTTTGATCAACCCCTGGAACACCACCGAGTTCGCCGAGAAGATGATCGGCGCCATCAACATGGAGGAGAACGAGCGAGAGATCAGGCAAGCCGGCTGTTGGTCTGATTTTGGCGGTGGCGGTGGTGGTGGTCGGGTGATATCTCGGTGGTTGGTTCCGTTTTTGCTCCGGAAGCGCGTTGTCAACACATGCATGCTTCGTCCTCCAACCACGACATGCAACAACGCGCACGTTTCCCCCGCGTGTAGTAATAGCAGAGGGATAGAACGGACGCTTTTCTCACCGGAGAGCCGGGTAGCACGGTCGATGCGTATGAAAACTATCAAACCCAAAGGGCATCCACGAAGCCGTTAAGCCGTCTCAAATATAAAAAATAAAGTAGAAAAGCCCGTTCCCTACCCCCATACCCTCCCGGTCGACGGCACGCGCGCTCCCCAGACATCGAAACATGAGCTCGTACGTGAACAACTTCACGGCGACCCTGTGGTGCAAGCGTTTCGTGCAGCAGCTCCACGACGCCAACGAGGGCTGGGTGCGGACCACCGCGCGTCTCCTCCAGAAGGAGCATGTCGTCATGGTGAGTCCTTTTCTTTGGTAGTATTGGCATCGACCGAACTAGCCGGCGGACCAATCAAAAATACGTCAGTCTCAGTGCTGTGGAAAACATGTGTGTGTTTGTGTGTGAGAGAGAAAGAGAGAGATGCCGCCCGCTCCAATTGCAGCATTGACATTCATCGAGGGAGGGCAAAACGGTGGCACATCTTTTGTCAGTCGGTCAGTCAGTCGTTTGTCAAGTCATTCATTCGTTCATTCGCAACCTTCTTGGTGTCGGTCTCCAATCACTGCCACACTCGTGAGCACGTGCACGCAGGGCAGGCGCGCACAAGCTCTCACCAACTCACTCCCGCCCCACCACTCTCCCCAACATTCGTCATCCGCCACCTCCCTTTCTGTTTCCCGGTGGCAGTCGTTCATGTACAGCCGTTGGCGCCTGGTGGCGTTCAACCTTGAGGGTGTTCTGGCGAGGGCCTGCGCCTTGCCGGAGCTGGTGCATATCCCGGCGGAGACGGCGGCGTCGTTGGACTCCCTATCGAGGGAGGTAAAAAAAATAGACGTGAAAAAAAAAAATGGGAGAGACTCCCTATCGAGGGAGGTAAAAAAAGGCACGAAAAAAAATGGGAGAGACTCCCTATCGAGGGAGGTGAAAAAAAAAGACGTGAAAAATAAATAAATGGGAGAGACTCCTTATCGAGGGAGGGATAACAAAACATGTGGGGAGAACATCATGTTTTGGCGCAACACCTACTTCGTGGGAGACATTGCCGTTGCTGCCACTGCTGCGGGTGTGGAGTGGAGAAACGCAAAAATAAATAAAAACGTGTGCGCGTGTTGGTTTAGTAGCAGAGGTTGATGATGGACGACGGACTCCTCTTGGTGTAGGTTTGGGTGCGGTCACGAGAAGGAAAACGTGGTGAAGCGGGACAGCAGATCCGACAATAGACAAGAATCCCCTCTGCGCGTTGACTTAAAAAGTAAGTGAAAAACATACAGCGGTGGGGAGCACAACTTTTTTTTTTTTTTTCTCCCGTCGTTTAACGAAGCGATGCTCGAACCCGGGAGAGAGTGTTCGTTCCCTTTCAATTAACCCCTTCGTGACGCAACTGCTCTTTAGAGGGTGAGGTGCCGTTGGTTTCGCCGTCGTGCTTGGTTCTCTCTTCTTGCTAGTTGCCTCGATCCCCCCTCTCCTTGATCTTTTGCCCTTCTCGGCTTTGTTGCTGTTGCCGTTGTGTTGGCGGTATTGCTCTTACGTTGTTTCTTCCCTGCTTGCAGCCCAAGAACATGGTCGTGGTGAAGAGCCCTCGGAGCCGAGACACGCTGGATCGCCTGCTGGGCCGCACGAACTGCGTGCTCGCTGCCGAGCACGGAGCCTTCATCCGATGGGGGAAGCACGCTCATTGGCAGGTATGTAGTGCGGTAACAGCCAGTATTGCTGTGCGCGATCAATGCTCGGGAGTATGTTGTCGTGTCTCGGTCTAGCTCTTGTGGTGTGCTGCTGCCCCAATGATTGGTCAGGCAGGAGAACGTGGCATGTCTTGGTCGTTGTTGTTGTTGTTGTTGTTGTTGGTGGTGATGTTGTTGGTGATGTTTTTGGTGGTGCTGGTGGTGCTGGTGGTGCTGGCTTCACGAAAAGGACGGCCAGACCTCTAGCGAGATGTCGTTAGTTGTAGTGTTGTAGTTGTTGTTGTAGTTGTAGTAGTTGTTGTTGTTGTTGTTGTTGCTGGTGATACTGGTATTTGTGCTGGCTGCACGAAAAGGGCGGGCAGACCTCTGGCCAGTTATCGTTGTTGTTGTTGTTGTTGTTGTTGGTGTTGGTGGTGCTGAGGTTGGTGCTGGCTTGCCAAAAGAAGGCGAGGCGCGTAGCCAATCGTCGTTGTCGTTTTGATAGTTGTCCCCGCTGCCCCTGTTTCTGGTACCCTTGTTGAACTGTTTTGTGTCTGACCGCACCCCTCGCGTACGTTTGTTTCCTGTTGGTTGCTTCTGTGCCAGCCGCTGCTTCCTAACGTGGATATGAGCTGGATAGGGGATATCGAGCCCCTGCTGGAGTACTACACGGAACGCACACCCGGGGCCGTGATCGAGGTGAGATTCGGAAAAAACACTCAAATGTTTACGTATCGAAAGGGTGAAACGGCGAGTTTGATGTCTCCGTTGTCTTTGTTGAGCACCCTTTCCATACGTGGACATCCATTTCCGAGTTGGGTTTTTCTTGAGTATTATTGTCTGTTTGTTGCAAGAGACAAGGACAGCGAAAAGCCCTCATCGATTTTCGAGTGAACAACTCCCGGTCATTGAGAAACGAGCGTCGACATGTTTTTCCCTCTGCCCCGTTTCTCCATCCCACCGACTCGATCAGCCACGAGGCTCGCGACTGCTCGTAGGCCAAACCGACATGTCGGCGATGGCGACGGACGGCTACACCGCCGTAGGCGTCGCTCTTTTTTTTGTTCTTCTGGAAACCTCACAGAGGCACGTTTCGCCCGGGCTTTTGTGATTCTGCCATTCGGGGTCTCACACCATCACGCCCAGGCATAGCAGTGAGTACCCTCCTCCACCCCGCACGTTCAATGGCATGCCAAACATGAGCACACAGCCCCGTGCGCGCGTTCGCACCCCCCCCCCCCCCCCCC